GGCCTGTGCATCCCGTGATCGCCTCACCCCACGCTATCCTACTGCAGTCCGGCTGCTGCTCTTCAGTTTACCTGCTTGTGGGTTTCCAGAAACAAGGCAGTGGGGGCACAACCTGGTCAGTGACACAAAGTGCAGGGGGCTATGCAGAAAGGTAGAAGTGGCAGGAGTAAGCCAGGGGCCTCCTATAGGACAGCCCACAGCAGCACTGTCCTCAGGGAGTGTGAGGAGAAGAGACAGGGGCCAATTCCAAAAAGCCAGTGGGCAGCAGGGCCCTCAAAGCCAGAGGAACCTGAACCAAGACGTCCCTGGATTAGGAGAGCAGGGTTCCAATCCACATGCTGCCACCAACCAGGAGACAACTCAGGAAGATCGCTTCAGCTTTCAGAGCCCCCAGGTTCTGGGCAAAGGAGAAGCATGACACCTGTCCCCTCCTACCAAAGCAGCTGTGGCTGACAAGGTAAGGACAAGAAGAGTTTGAGGTCCCTTTTAAAGCAACCCATATTAGCTGTTCTACAATGCTTCTATCTCTCAAGACATCATTTTGTACACCATAAAGGTATACAAAAATACATCACATGTATTCTCTAATTTTTAGGTATATTTCCCTAAAAATAAATTTAGGGAAACAATGCACTTGGTAAGGCAGATGGGAGTAAGCAGTTGCCTGGTTTGCTACAAACTGCTAAATCAGATTTAAAACTTTTATTTCCGGGGCAGCACCTATGGCTCAAAGGAGTATGGCGCCAGTGCCATATGCAGGTTCAAACCCAGCCCCGGCCAAAAACTGCTAAAAAAAATAAACAAAAACTTTTCTTTCCAATGAAATAATGCCTTTTGCAGCAACACGGATGGAACTAGAGACCATCATCCTAAGTGAAGCATCACATGTATTCTCTAATAATTGGGAACCAATCAATGGGCACACATGGGCACCAAGTGTGGGGGAAGAGGCACCAAGAAGGGGGAAGGTGAGGAGGGGCAAAAAGCTACCTATTGGGTGCAAAGAACACTCTTCTCCTGACCTCTGGGGGCCCTGCACTGGTTCCTGGGTGGAGCTGGTGTTACTCTCCAACTTAAGCACTGTACTAGCTATTCATATAACACAAACATCTGTACTTCCTTAATAGTTTGACATTTTTTTTTTATTTTTTTATGAAAATATTTTGGTTTTGGTCTTTTTTTTATTAAATCATAGCTGTGTACATTAATGCAATCATGGGGTACAATGTGCTGGTTTTATATACCATTTGAAATATTGTCATCAAACTAGTTAACATAGCCTTCATCACATTTTCTTAGTTATTGTGTTAAGACATTTATATTCTACACTTAGTAGATTTAACATGTACCCTTGTAAAATGCACCATAGATGTGGTCCCACCAATTACTCTCCCTCCACCCATCCTCCCTGCCCCCCCCAGCTCCTTCCCCTCCTCTTTCCTCTTCATCTTGGGCTGTAGTTGGGTTATAGCCTTCATGTGAAAGCTATAAATTGACTTCATAGTAGGGCTGAGTACAGTGGATACTTTTTCTTCTATTCCTGAGATACTTTGCTAAGAAGAATATGTTCCAGCTCCATCCATGTAAACATCAAAGAGGTAAGGTCTCCATCTTTTTTTTTTTTTTTTTTGCAGTTTTTGGCTGAGGCTGGGTTTGAACCTGCCACCTCCAGCATATGGGACCAGTGCCCTACTCCTTCAAGCCCCAGGTGCCACCCCAAGTCTCCATCTTTTTTAAGGCTACATAATATTCCATAGTATACATATACCACAATTTATTAATCCATTTGTGGGTCGATGGGCACTTGGGCTTCTTCCATGACTTAGCAATTATGAAGTGGGCTGCAATAAACAGTCTGGTACAAATATCTTCATTATAATGTGATTTTTGGTCTTCTGGATATATACCTAGTAGAGGAATTGTAGGATCGAATGGCAGGTCTATTTGTAGATCTCTAAGTGTTCTCCAAACATCTTTCCAAAAGGAACGTATTAGTTTGGAACAAATATTTTGAAATTTAAAACAAATAAAACTTTTCTATTCTTGCTAAAATAAATATTTATCAGCCCATCAGCATAAAGTTAGCACTATCACTAGTTCTCCTCACAGCTTCCAGAACAGTAGCCCACACAGGGCTTCAGAGCAGGGTCAATGGAACCTGTTTCATTAACTAGCCAAGGATACCGCCTGCAGGATGTAAGGAAGGAGGCTTGTACTATTTACTCAGGAGATCCTTGCAGAAGATTCTATACAGTGCCATTCAGGGGATCCTGGGAGAGCCGGGCTGGCCTGATTTCCCCAAACAAACCCCAAGGAGCATGCATCATGAATAAGCTCAGGGCCAAGAGTTTTCACCAGTTGGGAAATTCCTGACTACACAGCCCTCCTATTTCAAACCTTACCAATTCATGCAATTATTCTCACTCTGAGAACCCTGCGGCTGAATTAAGAAGACTGCTAAGGCGACAGGCACTGTTTCTGGCAGAATCTATAGTTATAGCTACGCAGCCGGACTCAGATCCCGCAGCCCTGGAGTTGGAGGTGTGGGTGAAGGTGCAACTCAGCCTGCATCTACGGCATCTGAGCCTGCGGACCTCCTGCACACGCGGCCTCATTCCCACAGGAAGCAGCAGCCCCTCACCAGCAGCCAACAGGCATATGCTATACTTGACCTGCTTGAGATTACCCGCCCACTTCCAGCCAGAGTTTTCTAAAATGTTTAATTAGCTGTCAATTTATTTCACATTGAACATAGGTTTCTACTTTCTGGTAAAACTCGGGAGACCTGACAAGGAGCCTGCCTTCCGCCTGGTGCACATCCCAGCGGGACACTCTATAGGAGGTGGGCCCCTCATTCCCCACGCACACACCTGGCCTATTTCTCCTATTTTAGTTTGAGGACAAGCTTCCGCAGGCATTTTAGTTTGTGACTCCTAATTTAGATGAGGCTTTGTGGATAAATGCTCGTGTCCAATTTTAGCAGGCCAGGGATCAGGGCCTTGCTACCGCCTGCCGGCTTCTGCAGACTTCTAGGGCAGAGCACGGGAAGCAGTAGACACAGCGCTGAAGCACTGCGCGCTCCAACCCGGCGATGCCAACCTGGCCTCTGCGCCACTCAGGTGGTTAGAAGGCCTCCCCATTGGGAGATGGGAGCTTGAAAGCACCTCTGAAGGCTTAAAAATAAAAGAAGAAAGAAAAAGAAACCACAACTAACAAAACCACCTTACACTTTTTCAGAGTTCTGATGAGATGACCATACATGAGCTTGACTTTCAGATCCCAAAGCAGAGCCGGGTAAAAGAAGCAGGGGAGGGGTTCTCTAAGGACGGGGCTGCTGCTGGCACACCCACAGAGCCCCTCGTCCTCTCTGAACCCACTGGGCGGTGTACTGGGCATCTACACCTTGAGGCACGATTGAAGTCAGTGCACTGCTTCTCTGAAGAGTGTCTGTGACACAGAATAGAAGGAGTCTGTTCCCAGTTGAAAGTGGCTCAGCTATCAAGGGAAAACTAGGAGGTCCTCTACAAGGCCTGTGAGCACAGTCATCTATTCATGTTAAGTCAGCCCTACCGGAAATTAACTTTTAATGCCCAACTAAATGAATGTGTCACCTGGCTCAGTGCTAAAAATGCACACCCATACGCATTTCCTAGAGTCGAGGCATATTTCCCTTCCCTGTAAAATGCGAAGATATTTCCCGACTGACATCCAGCATGTATAATCGTACTCAGCACCCTCATATCTCAGCCAAGATTCAGGTTCTGACAGGGTGGAACACAGGCCACTAAGTTTGGTGAAGAACAAGGATGGACAAAGTAGTCAAAGACACATTTTAATAAGAAATTGTATCCTCCAGTTTCTACATCCAAGTGTCAGGAGATCAGGGTGGGACTATGATAACCAGGAGATGAAGAGCACGGAAGTGCAGTAACAGGCTAGCTGCTGGAGCGCTCTCTGCTTCTGAAAAAGACTAAACACTATAAATAGACACATTCCTATCCTGGCATCTGTATCTTGCCCGTCACTGAGACATTAGAGAACAAGGTTCTGACCAACTGCAGGGATAAATTACAGTTAAGATCCTGCTGTATTATTAAAGTGTATTATTAAAGTTTTAACCTCAGTTGTAATGTCTCCACTACATGCAAGAGAATGTCCCACTTCATTTACCTGCTTTCTATAAAAACACATCCATACACATACAAATGTAATATATTGCCCCAAAAAGAACTGATACATTTTTCTAAAAGTGAAACTAAAGGTCTAATCAGTTTGGCCTTACATTAGGGAGTCGATGCAACCACGTGCAAATCAAATCACATCCTAAGAGAAAAGCCCATATTTTGCATTCAAATTGCTGTTGCAACTTATATACTGGGAATTACTGAAATGGCAGCATCTTCATCTCCTCTAACCAAATCAGCTGCCCTCTATGGAGACCGCATAGTAGAGTATAAAAAATATTTCTCTTCTCAGCATTTGTAAGGTGGGGGGAGGATCAGGGTGTGGGTAATGACTCTCACTCAGAGGACAAAATAGTCAAAGACACATTTTAATAGGAAATTGTGTCCTCCAGTTTCTATATCCAAATGTTAGTTGTGCCAGAAAACCCAATGTACATAATTTTATGCATCGAAGTTCAAAGGAAAAAATAAATAATTCTTATTGCAACAATCATTGAATGGGTGCAGAACAACAGATGTAAAGAACACAGACTGGATTACGCTGCTTCACAAAACCACCCCATTTCTCTTTACAAAACAGACATTTTGCTTTTCAAATACTCAAACAACCTAAGGAAAGAAACACAGATCCTGGTACCAGCGCAGTGATTCTCTCTGCCAAGCCATCTGCATTCCTGCCAAGGAGATCTTCCGGACCTCAGTATGTTGTCTATTCTCTCTCAACCTGCCCAACTCCCACAGATAAACTGTGGTGAGAGGCAGTGCAGGGAGCTGACACTGCCAGGAAGGATTGTTAAAGGAAGAAAAGGACCTTACCACTTCTGGGAGCAGCCTAGTTGAGAGGTCATGGATGGCTTTGACCACTATACATATGGATGACAGAAGAAATATCACCCCCAAGATGACACAGGCTCTGCAAAAAACAAAACATTGAGAATCTTAACTGGGAGAACTCCACACTGCTGAAGAGTTGGCACAGTCAACAGGGACAAGGACACAACCTGGAGTGGACTCCACTGTAATCTGCTACACCTCTAGGGTGACCACCCACAGTCCCAGGATTAACGCTGTCACCTCTAGAAAAATACAGTTCAGGGTTTTATCACCAAAGTCAACCTCTGGGGAAAGAGTTTCACCACCCTGCATAACCCCGGAGCATCCTGTAAATGTTGGTGTGGAAGGATCATCAAGGCCATGAAATCCACCACCCCACTTGCCTGGCAAACATGACATTCCATTCCTCCTTCAGCTGAAAGGTGCAGAGTTTAACAGCAAAGAGTAGAGGGTCTGGCAGGAAACACACCAAGCTCTACCATTAACTTGACGAATGATCTTGATCAAGGAAATGAACTTCTCTTACATTTAATTTTCTTACCTTTCAAATGGGAATATTTCCTACTTAAAAATGAAATAAGATGATAATGATACACCAAGCATTGACACTAGCTTAAACGAAGGAAAAGTCTACTCTGGGTGTCTCTTGTGGATATGAGGTGATAGACACCTTTGAATTTTCCCAAATATAAAAAGGAGGAGTGATTTGCTAATGACAAAAGGCAGTGTTTATGGTAAGATGGAGCAATTCTAAAAAGAAGAGAGGAAGGGAGAGAAGGAAGGCTAAGGTCACCAAGATGCCCAGCACAGGAGGTGGGGGGAGCAGGTTGGGTGAGAGGCTGAGGGCGAAACAGGAGAACACACAGCTGGGAAAGGGGGCTGGAAGTACATAAGGAAGCCTATGGGAATTGGGGCATAGAAGAAGCCTCTGCCAACCCAGACCCGACAAATCTCAGGAGGAAGAAAGAAAGGAAAATGAGGGTGAACATGAGAAAATAATGATATTAACACAAGGGTCAAACTACCAACTGAAAATGAAGATGGAGAGAAAAAAAGAATACAAGAATAACCACAGTTGGGTCTACCAGGAGTGTCCAGCCTTTTCTTCTCTGCTGCACATTGGAAGAATAAGAGTTATCTTAGGCCACACAATAAACACACAAACATTAAGGGAAGCTGATTGACAAAACAAAGGTCCCTGCAAACTTTTCCTGATATCTGACACCACAAGTGAGCAAAAAAAGTCCTCACAAAATCAGCAGGTGGCCCCCACACCTGCAGGTCAGACAACTCTGGACCGCCCCTGTCACAGCCTAAAATTGGGCAGTTTACTGGGCCTTCTTCCCCCAGCTACCAATAAAATCACTTTTCACCAACAGTCCTGGATTCCTCTCTCTAGACTAACACCAAACCCCCAAATTGCTCACCTAAACTAAAGTGGCGCCCACTTGCAAACCTACAGAGGGACACAGTCCCCAGATTTATGAGTGAGAAATAAAGGCCGATAAACAAGGGGCTTAGAGTCTCCTCAGTAAGCTTTTATTCCACACTCTAGTCAAGGTTTTACCCTTTCAAAAACACAGACATAAAGAAGGGATTGTCACAGGTCAGGGCAAAACACAAAAAGAGCTAAATTGGAGGGAAAAGGAAGGAATGGGTTAGGGCCACGGCACAGACTTGAGAGAATGAATATGCACTTGGATGGCAGAGGGATTTCGCCCTTAATCTGAAACAAGCTCTGCAAAAAACAAAACATTGAGAACCTTAAGTGAGAGAACTCTACCCAGTCAAAGAGTTGGCACAATAGACAGGGACAAGGATACAATCTGGGAGTGGACTCGAGGGTTATCTGTCATGCCCCAGGGTGACCACCCACAGTCGCAGGGTTGATACTAAGTCACCTCTAGAAGATATAAAGTTCAGAGTTTTATCACCCAAGTCAATCTCCAGGGAAAGCATCTCAACATCCTACACAACCTCACAGCGTCCCACTAATGCTGTGAGCAGTGTGGCACTATGGTCCACCAGGGCCAGGAAAATATAATTTGGGCAGTAAGTATACATTGCCACAGATAACGTGACACAGGCAATCAGAGACAAAGGGGGCCGCAGCTGGTAGAGAGTCATGGCGGAATGAGGGGGGCCTATTGAGGGGCCCTTCAGTGACCACATACTGGAGCAAGAGTGGGTGTCCAGGCCTTAGAGAATCAGTGTTCCCAGAGGAACTGGCTCCTGAGTTCCAGCTATGCTGGTGTCAGACAGCTATGGGCCGGCTGTGCTTAGAGCAACCATTCTTACCTGCGAGCAAATGAGCTGAGAGGTCCCATCACAGGAGAGCAGCCTAAAGTCAAGATAGGCCTCCAAGTACATTTTACAGGGAGTTTTCCTCTCCATTCATAAACTCTGGAGTGACTTATAGACACTATCTCTTTGATCCGTGCGTGGAGGAAAATTCAGCCATTGACTTAGCTCTTCTCAGTCCTGACGGTACACTGCACTCACCTGGGGATTCTGCACTCACCTGGGGATTCTGTTTCTAAGGTGCCTGGGGACCACGCTAGTTCAATTTATCTGACTCTCAGGGGTGAACCCAGGCCTCTGCATTTGTTTAAAGGTTCCCCCAGGCAGTTCTAATGTGCACCGGGTTGAGAATGTCTGGTCTAGACTCAGGTGAGGCCCTGTCCCTAGGAAGCATCCACTGTGGGTGAAAACTGAAGGAGATGCAGGGAGGGAAGGGATGTCCCCACCAGAAGGAAGGGAGGGGCACCCAAGAGGCCTGCACTGCATTTGTGCACCAACCAGGTGAAAAAAATGAGCAGGCCTGCCACTACTTGTGCGCTAGATCCTACAGGCAATTTGTCACCACATCCTCAAGGGAGCTTCCGTCTGTCTCCATACTCTCCTGGGGGAAGAAGTGAACAAATGTTTGCACTTCTCCCCGGGTGAGGCCAAACATCCCTGCAGATGGGGCCTCAATAGCACACAAGTTAAGTTCAGATTCTGTTTATATTCCTAAGGAGATAAATACAAAGGATGCAATGGCCTTGTTACATAATTTTGTGCTTACATATCTTTCATCAAAAACTACATATAAATTCCTAAAGCCAAGAACCTTCTTGTTTATTTCTGTGTCTATGACAGCAAGAAGCAGGTGTTCCATATGCACCCAGAGAGGGGATATGGTCATCAACCAGTTACTTAAACATCAACTGATCGCTAAGTTTCTTCCCATGAAATCTGAGGAGGCAGCCACCCTTTTCCAACAGGGTAGAAGGAGGAAGGCACACTTCAGCCAAATGCCCGTGGAAAAGCCCACACTGTGAAACAATGCTGAAATATAATGAAAATCAAAAGAAATGTGTGCTTTCATTTACTAAAGTTGAATTTCACAGAACCGCATCCCTATTTTCTTCACTAATATACCTATGGGTATGCTCCAAAGTATTTTAAAAACTCATTTTCACCTTCTTTTAAGTGTGTTGCAAATTCAAAACCAATAGTTACCCTGCTGGGAGCCTGTGTGGAAGAGTGCTCGATCAGCCTAAAGCAGCTATTATTAGCAGAGGGTGCAATGCTATTTTTTAAAGCCTTATTAATAATATATTTATTGTGTTTACACAGCAGTTTTATCCTCAAGCACTCGGAGTTCCACACGTTAGCTCATAAATCCCCATGAGGCCACTCACCAGACCCAGGTTTTTGTTTTTGTGCTACTATGTGGATGGGGACAGAGAGAGATGTGTTCCATAAACACAGGTGGTCAAAATGGGGCAAGTCAAGGATTAGGAGCTTTGCTCAAGGTCACTCAAGGAGTATGAAGTACATACAGAAATAGAACCCTGCTCAGGTGACTCCATCCCAGCAGCCAGCCCTGTCAACCATTCAGCCACTCGGAGGCTCTGGGCAGTCACATGCTTGCACCCCCACCAACACCAGTGATGACCAGGACGTGGTAAAGACTCAAGTCAGGAGCAAATGTTGCAGATATAACTGACTCTGCACCTGTGAGTGTGAGCTGCCTCCAGGCGAGGGAGCCTGAGCAGGTGGTGGCCAAAGGCAACCGCCCCATCGGCACTCCACCACCTCCACCTGGAGGGGGTCAAGTCACCAGAAGGAACACGGATTCCTCTTCCTTCTTGCCCAAACCCTGGAAGAGAACTTTATGAATCAGAAGGAGGCAAATGAATTTCCTGTCCCCCAAGGTAATCCTCTAATCAATTTAGACTAAAATGGGGATTAAATTCCCACTGGACCAATGGTTGTCACAGATCAGTTGGATCTCCATCACCTAAGAACTTGGCAGAAAGGCAAACTCTGAATGAGTTCACCCCAGACCTACTGAGTCAGAACGCCTCAACTGTATTGTAACAGGCCATTCAGGAGAGTATGATATACACTCAAGTTTGGGAACCACTGAATTAAGACACATTTAATGTCTGAAAGAAAGCTAGTAAAACTCCAACAGATCGCTAAAGCCACTTTAAAGAAAAGATTAGAGGTAAACTCACTTCCCTACCCTCTTCCGCTAAGGGCTACAAATTGCTAATTGTGCACAGCACTGTGAATCTCCAAATCATCTAGGAACAAGCACTAGATTTTGCCTCTGAAATCACAAGGGCAAAATCTACTGACATTCACATCTAAAATTATGCCAGCTTCAAAGTTTGGCCCCCTGCCAACTGTAGGTGTGAAGGCCTATGGGCTCACCTGAAGAAAGCCTGAGTCCTATCACACCAATTCTAAGCTACCTCCCATCAGATCAAAAAACCAAGCAAGAGAAATTTCTCCAACCTCCCTCTAAAACACAAGGTTACCCTGGTGATTAACCAATTCTGTCTAGAGTTCAAAGTGTAATGTTTTATTTATCTTCTTTCATCCTGGTCTCCAAAGCATTTGTAATCTGGGACATTGTTCAACTGTGAAGCAAGTAATGAAAAATGAAAGAGTCAAGTGGTGTGAGCCCACAACACAATGCTTGTGGATGCACAATTTCTCATTTTTCTAGCTAGGCCTCCTTTCTCTATATTTCAAACAAAGCCACAGACGAAAATTGGTTTGGAGACAGGATAAAAGGATGGA